GGCGAGCGCAAAAAAATGCAACATGCAACTTGACAGGTGTCTGCCCGAAATCGACGCACGACTCGTGGATGGGACGCCTCTGGCGATAACGGAAGAAACACGGACGGTGCGGATCGAGTGCGGCGAAGATTTCGGCTTCAGCATGAAGTTCCTCGCGACGACGCTGGATGGCTGCGACGTGCTGCTGGGACGCGATTGGCTGCGACGACACAACCCCGTCATCGACTGGACAACGGGATCGTGCTGCGTCAGCAAGCACGAGGGGCTAATTAAGTTGCCTGCATGGACACCTGACTACATACAAGCCCCGTGCGTCAAAGCCATCACCATCGCCCACCACTTCAACAGGGGTGCGCAGCTGTTCGCCGTCTGCTTGCGCGAGTTGGCAGTCGACACCGACGGAAAGGACATCGAAAAGCTGTGTGCAGCTGTTCCTCCGGATTTAGCGGAGCTAATTCGACGGTACCCCGACATTTTCCCGGACGATCTGCCACCTGGGCTGCCACCCGAAAGACCCGAAGACCATAAAATCCAGCTGGAACCTGGCGCGCAACCTACTGTTCGGACACAGTGGCGGTTGACCCAGCCGGAACTCGAGGAACTACGCCGACAAATTGTTGCACTATTAGAGAAAGGCTTCATTCGGCCGAGCACCTCCCCGTTCGCGGCACCGATCCTGTTCACTCCAAAGAAGGACGGCGGGCTTCGCATGTGCATCGATTATCGCGCGTTGAACAGGGTGACCATCAAGTCTCGCTACCCAATCCCACGCACCGACGACCTCCTCGATCAACTTCGCGGCGCTCGCTACTTCTCGAAAATCGACTTACGTGGCGGTTACCACCAGATTCGGGTCTTCGCCGACGATTGTCACAAGACCGCGTTTCGTACACGCTACGGGAGTTACGAATTCACGGTGATGCCTTTCGGCCTCACGAACGCGCCTTCGACATTTCAACTGACCATGAACAGGGTTTTTCGCGATCTTCTAGACCGATGTGTCATCGTCTATTTGGACGATATCCTGATTTTTAGCAAGACACGGGAGCAACACCTCCGCGACCTGGACGCAGTTTTTCAAAGGCTGCAAGAGAACCGGCTCATCACCAAGGGCTCTAAGTGCGAGTTTTTTAAGCAGGAGTTGGAGTTTTTAGGGCACATTATATCCCGCGACGGAATCAAAATCGACCCGGCGAAGATTAAAACCATACAGGAGTGGAAGGCCCCGACTAATGTCACGGAGCTCCAGAGTTTTTTGGGGTTCGTGAATTACGTCCGGCGGTTTATCCCGAATATGGCGGGGATAACCGGCCCGCTGACCGACCTGCTGCACAAGGACAAGAATTTCGTGTGGGGGGAGGAAGCAGAGGTGGCTTTCCAGGAGCTCAAGAATTTTCTCGTTTCTCCTCCTGTACTGCGCATCGCCGACCCATCGAAGCCGTTCGAAGTTGTAACCGACGCCTCTGATTTCGCCATCGGAGCAGTGCTTCTCCAGGATTTCGGGAACGGGCTGCAGCCGATCGCCTACGAATCACGCAAGCTGCAAGCTGCCGAACGCAACTACCCGATCCACGACAAGGAGATGCTCGCCATAATCCACGCGTTTAAACTGTGGCGATGCTACCTGGTGGGCGCCGACGTCACTGTGCGCACGGACCACAAGTCCCTACAGTACCTGCGAGCTCAACCGAACCTCAACCCGCGACAAATTCGGTGGCTGGATTACATGGAAAGCCACTTCACCTACCGCATCACGTACAAGAAAGGGGCGAATAACATCGCCGACGCCCTGACCAGACCGACCGTACAATCCGCTGCTGTACTGATCACCCATTCGAACCCGCTACTTACAGGACTATTCACCCACGGCTACACTACGGACCCGTTTTTCACGACAGGAAATCATCAGCAGGCCACGACGCAGAAGGGGGATTATTACCTAAAAGCCGGCACCGACAGGATTTGGGTCCCCGCTTACCGGCTGCTGCGTGAACTCCTCATCCAGGAGGTCCACGATTCGAACTACTCCGGACACTTCGGGGTTGATAAAACCCAGAAATTACTGCACCGTCAATATTACTGGCCCGATTCCTCTAACGACGTGCAGCGTTACGTGTCCTCATGCAGGGTGTGCCAAGCCATGAAATCGACACGTCAGCGACCAGCTGGGCTGCTGCAACCCCTCGAGCCACCCGAACGACCGTGGCAACAGGTGACGATGGATTTCGTCACGGGGATGCCAGCTGGGCCGTCCGGCAACGACGCTGTCCTCGTCGTTGTCGATCGCTTCACGAAAATGGCGCACTTCGCACAACGCCGAACGACGATCACAGCCGAAGAAACTGCGCGCCTCTTCATCTCAACGGTCGTGCGACTACACGGCATCCCTTCGGCGATCATCAACGACTGGGACCCGAAGTTTACATCCAAGTTTTGGAAGGAAACATGGGCACAGTACTGCACGAAGCTACAGTTCTCATCGGCCTACCACCCACAGACGGACGGACAAACCGAGCGAACCAACCAGACGATGGAGCAGTTGATACGGACAAACTGCCCCGACCCCGCACGATGGGAAGATTCCCTCGCCATGTTGGAGTTTGCCTTCAACAACGCACCATCGAGCACGACTAATCACTCCCCGTTCTTCTTGAATTACGGGATGGATCCGACGGTGCCCACGGCAACTTCGCTCGACAACCCGGTCCCGCGATCACAAACTTTTGTGACGGAACTTCAGCATATACGCGAGAAAGCAGCAGACGCAATTCGCAAGGCGAATATTACTTCCCGCAAATACACCGACCTCCTACGCCGGGAACTCGTCTTGACTACTGGGCAATTAGTGCTCCTCGACACGAAGAACCTGCACCTGCCCGGTCCATCGAAACTACGGCCCCGATTTTGCGGACCGTTCAAGATTATCAAGATGGTGACACCTGTCACCGCGAAGCTGTTGCTACCAGACGACTGGCGCATTCACGACGCCTTCCACGTAAGCCTGCTTCGCAAGTTCGTGCCAGCCACGACCGACATTGCACGTCAGCAAGCTGCCCCGACAGCTCGACCTGTCCCAGAGCCGACACTCGACCCATTGAAAATTCTCGCCCATCGAGTTCGACTTGACGCAGCTGGCCGACACGTGGATTTCCTAATCCGCTGGACTGATCGCACCAGTGAGGACGACACGTGGGTGCCATCCGCCTCGCTCGACGCCTCGCCACTTGTTGGTGATTATTTGGCACGCAAGCGTGTTTCGGATATTGACCGCCTTTCTTAAGGGGGGGGGTGGTGTAAGGAATTTTCTCGAATTCCTTATCGGGGTTGACTGCTGCGCGTACAACCCGATTTTCGGAGTTCGCACGATCGGGCGATTTCCACGCTGCCGAAGCTCCTCGCGTCGCCTTCGGCATTCCCATCGCCAAACCTGCACCCAACCTCGCTCGTCCGAGGTTTCCTCCTAGCTAGGCTAGCCTACATTAGTTCTCGCATTCATTGTATTCTCAGATTCATTCAGTCACAGTCTCGTTATTCGTTTACCTGCGCACTCTCTTTTACAACTCATAACAAGCTTTGCGATGTGGTTACCCTTGAGGAGCCAAGCCTGCACAGTAGGATACCGAAGTCAGGACGTGGTCACAAACCAGTGTCCGTGCTGCCTTGGTGTTCCTGACGTCTGGTACAGTTCCGACGTTCCCCGTGCAGCTCGAGCTTTTGGTTTGGCAAAACGGTTCATGGTTCCAGGGCTCTCCAGACAAGTCCACGTTACAAGCCCTTGGGCGTGTTTGTTTCAGGTTTGGGTGAACCAAATGCCTCCACTACCCCAAGGAAGAGGGGCCTAAGCCAGTCCGAGCCTAGTATCCCTCCCTTATTGTCACGGCTTCGGCCGGTTCGGCGATTGCCGTACGCGCCCCGGCCGCAGCTGTAATTTCGAGCAAGCGATTCGATACAGCATATGCAAAATGTACCTGGTCCAAGGTCCATGTGGTGCAAGGCAGGGTGCGTAATCAACGTTCCACACCGTACGTAAACGTTCTGAAAGTTACAAAAAACCATAACATCGTACATTACCGTCGCAACGTAACCCGCCTCGTACATCACCAAGATGGAGCACGATATTTGAAAGCAGGAATGTATAACCAGGGGCGATGATTAGTGCTTGCAACTGTGTGAGACCAGAGGAAAAAACGGTATTGGTTAGTAAAAAAATGGCGTGTAGTTAACTCCGCGCCTGCATGCATGAAGTCGCTATCTTAGCGTAGAAGCCATCAGCATCGCTCCCACTACTCTTCGTTTGAAGCCAAGACTACGCGTATCGGTCCCGTCAGCTAGTCGCCGCTCGTTTGTTACAAACCGTTACGGCCAAAGCGGTCCATAATTTTACTAACAATGACTGCCCGAATGGACTTTTACGGTCTGACAGACCGCCTCGCGTTCCTCCTGACATCCATTCTCGACGAGGACAACGCGCCGCCGCCGGAATGCGCCTCGGCTCTTAGAAGCCACTGCGCGCTGCTGCTGTCCTTGTTGGAGGATGTCGAGCCGCTGGTGGACGCGTGGAGCGCGCAGCGACAGCAGCTTCGCGGAAACATCCTGCTGCAGTCGGCACTGGACGACCTGAGGGCCGTGCTGGAGGAAGCTTCCGGGTTGCTGTACTGGTGTTCATTGGCGCGCAGCAAGGCGTACATTGTGAGTTTGGGAGGAAAACTCTATCCTTAGTCGGTTTTCGGTTTCTAGCATGGCTGCAGGCACCTTGTCACGTTAGCACCAGAGCGTGCATACTCTTATCCCCGTCATATCCCCTTCGTATGCTCCTCCCCCTCGCTCTCATTGCTTTAAGTCAGCTTTCAGAACTCTCTCGTGTAACGGTAACGTTCCATAACATGCTTGTTCCAAACATAAAGAAATAAGTGTCTTTTACTACTCCCATCCGCTCCCTCCCGTCTTCTACCCAGGCAATCAGCTCGGAATGGGCAGCTCAAAAGTTTCAGGACCTGACCATGCGACTGGGCGACGCCCTGCGCGACGCACACTCCGTCGTCGAGCCGTCGCCCGTGCAGCAGCCGCACTGGCACGGGCTGTCGCACGGGCAAGCTTCTGGGTGGCAGTTCCAGGTAAATTGCGCCGGAGTAGAAAAATGGGGGCTGATAGAGTAGGGAATCACATTCAGTTGGGGTCTTCAGTGCGCAGTAGCGCGCCGAGCCCTCTCCCATGCGCGCAGTAGCGCGCTGAGCTCTCTGTCATGCGCGCAGTGGCGCGCTGAGCTCTCTGTCATGCGCACAGCAGCGAGTTGAACCCGCTGCCATGCTCAGCTGTGGCACCACTGCCTCTCCCTGCTCGTCCCCCCTCAACCCCTTCCCTCCCTCCTCCTCCCCCCTTTCCATCCCCCTCTCCGCAGGTACCGCACATCCTCTCGAAGCTCTCGCGCGCGCAGTACCCCGTAGAGCCCTCCGCCGTGCGCTGCCGCGACACCATCGCCTCGTTCGTTCCGCCCCCCCATGTCTGCGCCTGCGGCGCTGCGAACAGCAGCGGCAGGAGCAGCAGCGGTAGGTGCTCGTGTGCTGCGAGCAGCATCTCTGTTGCTCCAGATAAGCGCCGCAGTTTGCTGATGCTGGCAGGGCAGCTTGATCTTATAACGGAGGAGGACTTTAACGAGGAAATAGTGGCTCTTGAGGAGATTAAGGAGGAGTGTGAAAACGACGGCGCTAGCAGCAGCAGCCGGCGCAGCAGCAGCAGGAGGCAGAGCAACAGAACAGCGAGAGGGAGAGTGGGGAGGCGGAAGGCTTTTCCTTATAACGGGAGCGTTAACGGCAGTATTAGTAGCGCGGGGACGTCTGGTTACCACAGTGCTAACAGCAACAGTGACAATGACGGGCTCGGAAGAGGTACGGGGGCTGACACCGAAGCTGGGACAGCCACAGATTCTGGTTCAGCAGCAGGTACGACAACGGACTCAGGTTCGGATGCTTCCGTGCCAGCCTCCGTGGGATCCTCGTTTGAGTATGCCCCGATAGCACCTGCCGCAATTGTTCGTTTCAAGAACCCTGCTTTGGTAGCAGCTGCCTTATCTGTGGTCAAGATTATGCGAGAGGAGTGCCTGGGTATCCCTTTCGCCGAACCTGCTCCCGCTCTTCCTGCCGAACCTGCTGCGGCCGGTTCGGAGCCAGGCATGGGGATTATTTCCAGCGTCGGACAGGGTGCCCTCCCGCCTGTTGCAGAAGACCCTGAAATTTCACCTGAACAGGCACCTGAAGCTGCTGGCAGCGAGGGGGAGGGAGGGAAGGCGCCTGCCACGAGCACTGGCAGCAGCCCATCGTCTGTTCTCCCTCCGCCTGCGCTGTCACCAGATACACCTTCACCAGTTGCACCTGGACCAGTTGCACCTGCACCAGTTGCACCTGCACCAGCGGAACTACCAACTGCCACTGCTACTGTGGCGGTCCCCCCTCCCCCTGCTCCCGGTGCTGCCACTGCGCTTGGCATAACCGTTCCTTCCCAGCATCCTGCTGCCGCTGCAGCTGCTTCTTCCGATTCCGCTGATGCAGCTGCTGACTCTGCTGCTGCGGATGACTCTGCTGGTCCGCCCACCCCCTCCTCCACCGCCTCGTTTTCGCTCTCCTCCGTGCGGTCGGCCAAAGCGATCTACCTCTCTGGGCCCGCCAGGAGAGCCGCTGCTGCTGCCGCCAAGGCCAAGGCCCGCTCTGCTCCTGCTCCTGCTCCTGCTACAGACGCCGCTCCTGCTGTTGTTGCTGGTGTCCTTGCTGCTGCTGCTGGAGCAGCAGGGACAACAGCAGCAGGGACAACAGCAGCAGGGACAACAGCAGCAGGGGCAACAGCAGCAGGGGCAACAGCAGCAGGGGCAACAGCAGCAGGGGCAACAGCAGCAGGGGCAACAGCAGCAGAAGCAACAGCAGCAGGGGCAACAGCAGCAGAAGCAACAGCACCAGAGGAAGTTGCACCCCCTGTTCCATCCGCACCTCCAGCCAAACCTGCTTCCAAACCTGCTCCCGAGCCTGTCTCTCTGCCTACCTCTACTGTTGCCCCCGGACCTGCATCGCCAACCACCCCGTCTGCCGGACCTGCGCGCCGAGCCGCCGCCGCAGCTGCGGCAAGGCGGAAGAAGGAGCAGCTTGAGAAGAGTGAAAGCTGCGCTGGCGCTCCTGCGAGTGGGTGTCTAAATGAGTTGGCCGGGTGCTTTGCTGGGGCGAAAGAGTATGAAAGAAGTGAGAAAGAGAGAGGGGGAGGAGAAGTGGGAGAAAAGGGGAAAGGCGCAAGGGTTTGTGAGGGGGAGGTGGCAAGGGGAGGAGGCACCAGCAGGACACACCCGCTTCTGGGGCAGCAGCATGAGGAGAAGATGGGTGAAAAAGAACGGGCAGAAAAGACGCCGGAGAAAGCAGGAGCTGGGACGGGGGAGAAAAAGACAGAAGCCATTACTTCGAAGGCAAAAGAGGTGGTGATGGTGATGGAAGTGGGGGAAGGCGTGGAGGAGGAGGGTTTGGAGGAAAGGGACGAGAGAGAGGGAGAACGAGAGGGGGAAGGAGAGTTGGAGTCTCAGGCATATGAGTCTGAAAGGAAGGTGCAGCAGTGGCTAGAGCAGCAGCAGCAGGATGAGGGGGAGATGATGCAGCAGCCAGAGCACCTGACACCTGAGCACCTGCCAAAGCACCTGGAGCCTGAGAATCAGCAGCAGCAACAGCCGCAGGAAAGGAAGGCCAGTGAGAAGAGCAAGAAGAAAGAGGAAGAGAAGAAGAAGCAGGAGAAAGAAAGGCGTGAGAGGAAGAAGGAGAAAGAAGAGAAAGGAAGAGAGAGGCAGGGCGCTCAGAAAACGAGTGCCGTCCCTCCAGCATTTGATGAAAGGGCGTCGGAGCGTGGAAGAGGAAGAGACAGGGAGAGAGGCAGGGAGGAGAAGGAGAAGGAGAGGGAGAGGGAAAGGGAGAAAGAGAAGGAGAGGTTCAGCCGTTCCTCCATCCCCCCTCCTCCCCCCAAGAACCCCCTCCCGGCCATCCTCCTCCACCCCGCCGAGCCTGCCGAGCTGGTTCGGATGCTGCAGGGCTCCGAGCCTGCGCGTCTGCACGCGGCAGGGCGAATCCGCGAGGTGGCACGAGGAGACGAAGACGCGCGGGAGCACCTGAGGCAGGCCGGGGTGCTCCGACCGCTGCTGGACTGTGTTGCTGCTGCTGCTGGTCTGCCTGTGGGGGTGGAGGCGGTGCTGCTGCAGAGCCAGGAGAAACAGGAGACGCAGGAGAGGAAGGAGGGACCGGGGGGGACAGGTATGGGGGATCCGCTCCCTCTTCCCCCTGGCGCTGCTGCTGCTGCTGCTGCTGCGTCTTCCTCGCTCTGCTTCTGCTGCTACAAGCTATCCGCACCCTCCCCCCTCCCCTGCCATGCCAGGCCTACCCCTCACAGCACACCCCTGGGTGGCCCCTTCCCCCTCCCACCCGCCCATCCGCTACTCCTCTTCTGCTCCTGGTTATGGCGTCCCACCCACTCCCTTCTCTGAGCCAGCAGGGTCCATGCGAGCAGCTTCCCCTACTCGAACCCCCTCTTTGCCCGCGTCCCACTCGTTCCCATCGCCGTATCCTGCTGGGTCTGCTGCTGCTGCTGCTGCCGCTGCTGTTGCTGCTGCCAATGCTACGCCAAGGCACTTCTCAGCAGCACACCCGGGCTTTCCTGCACTGCACCAACCGCACACTCCCCACGCTCCCCTTACCCCCTCCCGCTCCCTCTCTTCCGCTCCTGCTCCCCCATCACTTTCTACCACCACCCCCTCTTTCAACCCTGCTCATACAAACTGGGCACTAGCAGAGACTGCTACTTTCGCTATAGTCAATCTCACTCTCGATCCAATCAACTGCAATATAGTCACGGACCTTGGTGCCGCCCCAATCCTCGTCCACATCCTCCGTGCCGCCCCGACCGCCGTCCGGGACGCAGCAATCGCCGCACTCTTCGTCCTTTCCTCGTGCGACGCCGCCCGGCTGGACATCGGAGCGGCCGGCGCGATCCCGCTGCTTGTCTCCATCCTACTGGACGAAAAGCCGCAGCGGCAGCCCTCGGCGTGTCCGGCAAACTCAGACCGAGCCAAAGAGGATGCGCTACTCACTCTCCTCAACCTCTCCCATCTTGCTTCCAACAAATCAACCCTTCTTCTCTCCGGCACTCACCGCGCGTTAATCCACATTATAACGCGCGCACCCGGGCACCGCTTAGCGGACAAGGCTCTCGCTACCATGAGGCAGCTTGTAACGAGGCCGGAGGGGAGGGAGGCGGTGGTGCAGGCGGAAGGGGTGGGGGCACTGGCACGGGCGTTGGAGCGAGGATCGGATAAGGGGAAGGAGGAGGCTACGGCGATTCTAGTGGTACTGTGGGATAACAATGGTGGGGGGCACAGGAAGGCGATCAGGGAGAAGAAGATCGGGAAGCTGCTGACGGCCGTGGCTCGGACGGGCTCGGAGCGAGGGCGAGCGAAGGTGAGTGTGTGCAGGGGGAGGTGAGAGATAGGGGAAAGGAGTGAGTGTGAGGGAAATGCAAGGTTGTAGAGGAGAAGAAGATTGGGAAGCTGCTGACGGCCGTGGCCCGGACGGGCTCGGAGCGAGGGCGAGCAAAGGTGAGTGTGCGCAGGAAAGGGAGGTGAGGGGAAGGGTGATGTGCGAGTGAAGTGTAAGGACGTAGAGAGAGGAAGATTGGGAAGCTTCTGTTCCATCTACCATCATCCCACACTAAGTCACCATGGCACCCCGTACCCCATCTTTTATATAAAACTCTCAGCACACTCGCCATCACAAATATGGCTCCTTGATTGACCTGTGATTGCGTCCCCTTTCACTCACTCTCCCCCCCTTTCCACCCCCGTATCCCCTCTCCACACCCTTCCCTCTTTCCCGTTTGTGCTGCAATTTCTATCCACCCATCACAATCGTCTATCACCAATGTGCAGGCTCTCCAGCTGTTGATTCACCTCGCATGACAGTGGGCTATGGGCCATGGCCGGTTGAGAACTTCTGGAAGAGTGTGGTGCTTTTACATTCAAGTGATTGCGCTGACATAGACGTGATTGTTTGTTGGCCTGAGATTCCACTGGTTGTGCAAGATGCTTTGCCAGCACTAATTCTGCAAGCATGTCTCTTCAGTGACTTGCTCCTTACATGAACCGTATTGTACTGTAGCTGTTTTCTATTTTGTAGAAATACCGTAAGTGGTTGTGTTGGATCACAGAAGACCTTTTCCCAGTGCACTGCTGCAATGCAAGTCCAAAGAAGAGCTTCATTGTAGCAGCTAAAAGACGGATGTATGCAAGTCCTTTCAAGCGAAAATTACTGCGGAGCAGAAGCAAGGTACCGTATTATGCGTGCGTTGCGTACTTTCGAGCCCAGTCCTTACATTATAATGCATATCATTATCAGTGCGTGCAAGGTAAACCTTTTAGCACAGCAAATTGGAAGGTGCTGGTTGCTCTACTACCGGTAGCAGTAATCATCGTTCAATGCCCAATGTCCATTAATTGTCCTCATGAAAGCACGATAACGAATAAGCTTAAGCGCCACCAATCAAAAGCTTCAGGGTAACTTTTCGAAGACAAGGAAAATGGCCATGAAGAAAAGTAGGATCCTTAGTATTGGTCCACTTGTTTAATACAGTACAGGTGCAGAGCATTTCTTACAAATCAACGGAAAAAAAATAAAAAGATGGTAAATTTTTACACCACCATGGCGATACCCATGTCGGTCGACTTGGCGGCGGAAGCGGTAGCAACGTTGTCCTCTGGCATCGCAGCAACAACGTCATCCTCAGGCTCGGCAGCCACCACAGCCACGGTGTTGTCCGAGTCAGCAGGCTCGGCAACAGCCACGGTATTGTCATCATCAACAACAGGCGCGACGACGACGGAGTTGTCGGAATCGGCGACATCCTCGCTAGAAGCAGCCACGGTATTGTCGGAGTCGTCGGCGGCGTCGTCAGTGGCAGCAACGGTGTTATCCTCGTCAACAACGATCTTATCAGCCTCAGCGGCGCTCACGCCGTTGTCCTCCTCGTCCCATGCGGCCAGATCTGTCAACGCAAGCTCCTGAATCTTCTCCCTGGAGAGTCCCTTGAGATCGGGAACAACGGTGTTATCGGTGATATCGTCGTCGAGCGGTGCGGGCCGCGCGTGGCACACGGCGAAGAGAGCGAGAAGAGCGAAGGCGACAACGGCGTAGCGAGCCATGGCGGGGAGCTAAACTGGATAGCTAAAGAAACCGGAGCGGAAGCCGAAACAAACCCTCGATGCAGGTTTCGCTGTGCGCAAATTGAAAATCAGGAACTGGAGAATCAGCAAGCTCTTTGCGTGAAAGGGAGTTGAGGTGGGGAATGGGAGGTTAGCTAGCTGTTGTTGCTCGAGACAAGTGAGGTCATGGAAAGGAAGGAGATGGTTGGTGTGAACCTGCGACGTTCCTCGTCGCAGGGCTTCGCTTTCACAGCGGGGCGGAATTTGCGATGATCATCTCCAGACCCTGTTTGGCGCGCCTATAGCTGATTGGTCAAGCGACGCCAGTGAACATCTTGATTCGCAGAGCGAGAGTTGTACTGTAAAAATGTGGTGGACATAGAAACGACAAAGTGGGACCATAAATGAGACGCGTCGCTGCTGTTACAGGTGGTCTCAGGTGTTGTGGCTCCTTCGGCAAACAACTAGACTGGGGGTCATGGCCTGGACTTGGATTATTGGTCAACGAGTTTTGCGATCGTAACCGAAGCTCAAAATGGTGGATGAATCCGTCGTAGTCATGCGGGTAACATTTCGGCAAGGTTAGCGATGGTCGTCCTAAGTCCGGATTGGTGGAATGACGACGTTCTGTTCGAGTATTTGACGGAATAGACGAATGTGGTGTCTGCATCCTCACCTGAGTTATCCTCCCTGTGGAATCCACCTGAACGTCATTCCAGGAAGATGCACCCGCCCCCCCATTGACGAACAGCTGAAACATTTCAGGCTGAAGTACACCTCTACAGGTGGTAGAAAAATCCTAGGTAAAAAAGTATGTAATTACTAGCAAGGGTTTAGGGGGGAATGAAGCATTTTTACTGAAGTCCGAGACTCAACCACTTTGCACCGTGGTTAAAAACTCTCTTGATGTATCCAGCCGAGTGAAACCTTTCTGCACAATCGAATCAGTATAGGAGTTCAACTCTAATGCACCGTGCCCTAAGTACTGCAATGCTGATCCATGAGCCCCCCTCCACGGCAACACCTAGCGATGCGCATATGTATCATCGTGCGTTTACAAACACCATGTGGTTAGCAAACGCAATGCAATTATTACCGAAATTTAGAAAGCTTACTTTCTTGTGTTTGCAATGGCAACGTGCTTCGTTTCAAATGGGCAATGGCAACGTGCTTCGTTTCAAATGGGCATTACAACATTCTCGTCCGGCTTTTATTACCTACATTACAGCATGCATTTTTTGCTAGGGTGGGTGGGTGGGAAATAATACATTTGAAATTTCAAACGAAGACGTGGGTGGAGGCCAAATGACCTCCATCCACCCCCTGCTATATAGTTGGCGAAGAGCGTCTAGCACTTCGCCGTTGCCATTGCTGCATTACAAGCAGCTTCGCTTTCAAAATACACATTTTTAGAAAGTGTTACACACTTTCAAAAAACTTCATATTTAGAAAGCTTGCTTTCTGTCAGAATCCCAGTCACTAACCACTGGGATAAAAGGGCTTGTTAATATAGCGGGTGAGTGCGCCCATAACCCCCAGGCCGAAGTGTCTGTAACCCTTCCCTAGGATCATCGGGGATCTCCAGTAGACCTCTGACACCCCCCCGCACTGGGATGCCCGAAGTGCACACACCGGGAATCGAACCCGAGACCTTCGCTCTGATACCATATCAGAATCCCAGTCACTAAGCATTGGGTTAAAAGGGCTTGTTAATATAGCGGGTGAGTGCGCCCATAACCCCCCAGGCCGACGTGCCTGTAACCCTTCCCTAAGATCATCGGGGATCTCCAGTGGACCTCTGACACTTTCTTGTGTTTGCAATGGCAACGTGCTTCGTTTCAAATGGGTCTTCTGAGACATGTGACGGGGACTTGCTGACGAGAAGGTGGAGTTGTTGATCATTTGCGCGCTGACATGTGGGTGGAGTTTCGCTCGCACACTGAGCAGATGCTTGCACCGATGTTGCTGGTGATCATGTTGTTCACTGCCGTTGCGTTGGATGGGGTGTCGCGCCAAGTGTAGCATGGTTGGCTTTGTCAAACTATATGTGCTGCATATTGTCTAGGCTGTAGTGGGGTAGCCCATATAGGGTACAACCCAATTAGGGTTTACTACTTGTACTCCTGCATCCTGCTAGTTCAACCATTACTGCTGCTAGATTCTGACATGGTATCCATGAGCCCCCCTCAAAACCACTGACTCAGTCACACATGGTGCAGCAGGTCCTTCAGCGCTTCGGCTTCACCTGGTCCTCACCACAGCACACTCCTCTGGCTACAGGTCACTCGCTCTCAGCTCCACCTTCGGACGAGTCCGTAGAGCCGAGTGGTCCTTACCCAGAGCTAGTGGGCTGCCTCATGTACCTGATGACCTGCACTCGTCCTGACCTTGCGTACCCTCTTGGCCTTCTCGCTCGCTACGTGGCTCCTGGTAGGCACCGACCAGAGCACATGGCTGCTGCTAAGAGGGTACTGCGCTACTTGTGCAGTACATCGGGCATGGGGCTCGTGCTTGGAGGACGGAGTGAGGTGGTCCTCACTGGGCACTCAGACGCGTCTTGGGTTGACGACCAGACTACTCAGCGGTCGTCACAGGGTTACACCTTCAGCCTTGGCTCTGGCTCTGTTTCTTGGCGGTCTACACGCTCGTCTTCTGTTCTCAGCTCCAGTTGTGAAGCTGAGATCTACGCCACAGCCATGGCTGTACAGGAGCTACGCTGGCTCACCTACCTACTGACTGACTTGGGTGAGCGGCCTCGTTCTCCTCCAGTGCTGTACGTTGACAACAAGGCGGCCATTGCCTTGTGTGAGGAGCACAGACTGGAGCACAGAACGAAACACATTGCTCTGCGTTACTTCCTGGCTCGAGAGTTGCAGCAGCGAGGCCAGCTTCGTCTTCGCCACGTGGCCACTCGGGCCAACACTGCTGATATATTCACCAAGGCACTTCCGTCTGGTGATCATCAGCGCTTTTGTACCCTGTTGGGCCTTGTGCCTACGTTTCCACACTTGTTGTAGTCTCTGCTTGTACTGTGATCTATATATACACTTGCATGCTGGCTCTTGCTAGGTAGCCATCACTGTACTGTTATTGCTGCATGTGAACTGGCCTTGTGGCCCTTTGCTTGTGCTCAGAATGTGTGGTGACGTTGTGATCCACCCAGAGCTTGTTTTGTTTCTCTTGACTGGTCGTGTGACCCCTTGTTCTCCCCCACTTTGCCTATGGGGGTGTGTCAAACTATATGTGCTGCATATTGTCTAGGCTGTAGTGTACCCCACTACAGCCTAGACAAACCAATTAGGGTTTACTACTTGTACTCCTGCATCCTGCTAGTTCAACCATTACTGCTGCTAGATTCTGACAGGCTTGATTTATGGAAGATGGCTGATACGTAAGCTTTGTACCGTACACGAAGCCGCTATAGTATGGGAGGACTCGGGCAGCGGACGTTGGTCACAACCGTGCTCACATTAAGAAGAGTGCATGAAACTGTTGTCAGAATCCCAACCACTAACCATTGGGATAAAATGGCTTGTTTGTGTAGCGGGTGAGTGCGCCCATAACCCCCCAGGCCAACGTGCCTGTAACCCTTCCCTAGGATCAATCGGGGATCACCAGTGGACCTCTGACACCCCCCCGCACTAGGATGCCCGAGGTGCACACACCGGGATTCGAACCCGAGACCTTCGCTCTGATACCATGTCAGAATCCCAACCACTAACCATTGGGATAAAAGGGCTTATTGTGACACGAATTTCAGAGTAGTGTGCAGTGCAGTCGTCATAGCATTACAAATCTTAGGCATACAGCACACTCAATATAAACATATGAATACAAATAATGTGTTGAAGCAATAATGCTGTGCTATGGATGGAATTGAAAGGGAGTGGGGGGGTGGGAGCAAGAGAGTTGGAAATTGCAAATGAGACTAGGTGGCAGGTCCCCAAGACCTGCCGAAAGAAGAAGGAGCTTGTCTCCTTTACAGCACACACCTCTTTAAATCGAATCACAATCTGTAAATTTTTTATATGAATAAAATTCTCATATTGTGACATGACTTTCAGAGGAGTGTGCAGTGCAGTCGTCATAGGTAGAACGAGACATCAAGAAGGCGGCCGGCGACGATGTCGTTCCAATGTAGCTAGATAGCGAGTGGCCGAGCTAGATCGAAGCGGGTCTTGAAGGGTGCGAGAGGCCTCGACCAGCTCACGATCCAGCTGGGTAATATACATTTCCTTGGCCGTGTCACTACGCCACCGACCGAGAGCCTTGAAGAGGCGATCGGGGACGCCAACATCAACCGCCACGGTCGCCGTGGACTTTCGAAACGAGTGGGTGCCAAGAAATTCCGAGTTGAGGCCGACAAGAGCGAAGGTCTCGCGACACCAACCTCGAACGGTCGCATAGGAAGGGGATCGGTCGGATGGAGACGCCCGTGACCCAGGCCGGAATATTCGAATAAGTGGGCCTATGGTATCCATGGAGTAACCGGCGATGATAAGAAATTGTTTGACTCGCGAGATCGGACAGTGGCGAGCAGAGGAGGCAGCCACTGGGACCCACGCGCCCCTGCCTGCTTGGTCGGTCTTCGAGCGAGGGATGAACAACCACATGCAGTCTGCATCAAACTCGATTTGGTGCCATTGAAGGGAGATCAGGTCAGAAAAGCGCAGGAAGGCTGCGAACATCAGAAGGGGGACTAACCCTCGTTGGAACGTTGCCAGATCTGAGGAGGCGAAGTAAATGTCGCAAATGTCGGATATTTTCGATGGAGGTATGGGCTCTTTGGCCTGAGATGGTCGTATGCAGTGACGGTTGGCGTACTCCCTCACTTGGGATGAGAGTGGCCCACGAATGGGAGACTGTTCGCCGAGATGAAGAGGCACGATCCCCATCACGTGTAGGTGAACCCCTACGTCCGCTGCTCCGTTAATTCATGCGAACAGGAGGAGGCCTTCCAGCAGCGGCAGATAAAAGTCCACTAGCCATCGTAGAAAAACGAGCAGCAATAACGTCCTCTAGCAATGCACTCCTATGCCCAAGTCTGGGCATAGGAGAGGTTTAGAGTGTGCTGGTGGTAAGCAAGAGAGTTGGAAATTGCAAATGAGACTAGGTGGCAGGTCCCCAAGACCTGCCGAAAGAAGAAGGAGCTTGTCTCCTTTACAATACACACCTCTTTAAATCGAATCACAATCTGTTTTTTTTATATGAAAAAATTTCTCATGTTTTTGTAGCGGGTGAGTGCGCCCATAACCCCCCAGGCCAACGTGCCTGTAACCCTTCCCTAGGATCAATCGGGGATCACCAGTGGACCTCTGACAACTGTCAGATGTCCAGATGAATCTGCCGGAGATTAAGCCCTGCGCGTGAGTGTGCGTGTTTTTTTTTTGTTTTTTTTTTTCCCCGAGCATAATGATCTGCTAGAGTTGTGCACCATTTCAGACTCACCACGTTTTCTCAATCAACCAACTCAAGTGTGACCGCATCCCAACCTCGCACTGTCGGGACTCATCATAAGGTACTTGCGAAGTATTACAAAGACTGCACACCCACTAATCTACCCTTCAAATAGCCCGCAGACCAAAAAGGACCCACCAGCCCTCTTCTCCCCTGGGGAGCTCGCTGGCCAGCACAGGACCCACCGGTCCTCCTCCCCCCTGGGGAGCTCGCTGGCCAGCACAGGACCCACCGGTCCTCCTCCCCCCTACGGAGCTCGCTGGCCAGCACAGGACCCACCGGTCCTCCTCCCCCCTGGGGAGCTCGCTGGCCAGCACAGGACCCACCGGTCCTCCTCCCCCCTGGGGAGCTCGCTGGCCAGCACAGGACCCACAGGTCCTTTTCTGGCTGGCGCGGGACCCTCGGTCCCAATCTCCCACGGGAGCGTACAGAGTTGTACTAAATTTTTGCCGTAGTTTCCCTTGGCAGATGTTCTTTGACAGCGACGCAATGATACGGTAGTTGCCTCGCACCAATTTACTGCGACCAAAAATTAAGAAATAACACGGGTGAAAGCGAAGACAAGGAAAAGACCGAACATACGAAAAAAGAAAAAGAGGGAACATTCGCGAAGTAACAAGTATTCCAAAGACGAATTTCAGCAACAAAAGCGTATCTGCCATGCCAGTTTGTTTCTGGCGCGCCATTGGCGAATTTGCAGCCGCATGCGCCAGTAGCAATCTTGACCATTTCGGCGCCATGAGCGCCCCTGGCGCCACTTGAGCTGCTGGCGATTTCACCACGCGCGCCTGTGGCGATCTCGTCGCCACGCGCGCCTGTGGCGATCTCGTCGCCACGCGCGCCTGTGGCGATCTCGTCGCCACGCGCGCCTGTGGCGGTTTCGTCACACGCGCGCCAGTGGCGCTGTCGCCCTATTAGCCTCAACGTGTGCTGCTTATTGTACGGATGGGAGTACCCGCTGGTCATTTCTGAACGCGTATTGCTAGGTCAACTGAGCTTGCCTACTATTTCTTAAAACAAAGTGAAGGAGTGAGGAAAGCGAGAAGCGCCAGGTAGTCGGACGAGAATGAAATAAGGGCGTGTCCAGCTCGTACGTTTTCAGTTCATTTCGTGCGGTTGACCGCTTTGCGTCACGGTGCACAGGGGTGAAAATCTAGAATCGCTTTGCACCTGCTGATATTGTTTTAAACCACGGTAGATGAACTGTATATGAACCGAAAACGTACGAGCTGGACACGCCCTAATACATTTGAATTTTCAAACGAAGACGTGGGTGGAAGCCAAATGGCCTCCAGGGTTTAGGGTCTAGCACTTTGCCGTTGCCATTGCTGCATTACAAGCAGCTTCGCTTTCGAAATATACATTTTTAAAAAGTGTTACACACTTTCAAAAAACTTCATTTTTAAGATGATGCCATACGGATACAATGGTACGGTAATGATTTTATCTGTATGTCCAAGGCACGCATGCCGGTAGCGCCAAAAATGCCAATCCATTTGCCCCTCGCTACACCATGCGATGCGTCCCTTCACCCCAGAGTGTATTAGAACATGATACATCGGAGAATGACGAGGAACATGTTAGAGAGGCAAAACCAGGTATCATGGGCAGTGACTGTCAGACGTGATTGCAGAGGGAGCCGTGACTGCAGAGGGAGCACTGCTATTGCCACCGCCACCACTACCACCAATGGTATTGCCAGCAGCAGCACCGGAAACAGCAGCAGAAGCAGCAGCGATGGCAGCGTCGACAGCAGCAGCAGGCGTGGAGGCAGAAGGGGAAGGGAGGGCCGACAGAGGGAGGTCAGTGGGGCCGGCGGCGACAGCGTGGTGGCCGGTGAAGTGAGAAAGGTGCCCCAGTAGCTTGTCCTTGCGACTGTGAAAGAGGGGGGAGAAGTGCAGGAGAAGGCGAAAGGGAAGAAGGGGAAGGTTTGGGGGTTAGAGTTGACTCAAAGTCTGATGGTTTAGCAGCATCGGCATGGCGGCCTGTGAATTGAGAGAGGTGAACCCACTGGAACCCACCTGAGAGCCCACCTGAGCCCACCAGAACCCACCTGAAGGACGAGCCACAGGAGCATTTCCATGACGACCGGCCGCAGTGCTTCTCATGCGTGCGCAGATCAGCCAAGACGGCAAACTGCTTCACGCCACACCGGCTACAGGTGTACTGCTTCGCACAGTGCGTCCGCCTGTAGTGATTCTTCACACACAGAATCGTTTTCAGTGGCTGGAAATCCGGGTGGTGCTGGTTGCGCTTGCACCCGGGCTCTGGGCAGCTGTAGCGCTGCGGGCGGGCGGCGGGGTGGGCGGCGGAGCGCGCGGCGGAGAGCGCGGGGCGGGAGAGGGAGGACGAGGACTTGTAGGCGTCGCCGTGGCCCCGCATGTGCATGCGCAGGTTGGCGTCTCGCTTAAAGCCCTTTCCACACACCTGGTGGGAATTAGGAAGATGGTATATTGGAGTTAGGAGAGGACGGGTGAGGGATGGGAAGTGAGAGATGATGGGGAGTGGGAGGTGACACTATAGAAACACCGTGGCCAGGCATGTGCATGCGGAGGTTGGCGTCTCGCTTACAGCCCTTCCCACACACCCGGTGGGGGTGCAGAGGGGGGAGATGGGAGATGGGAATTGGGAGAGGGAGGTGGAGGACTTGTAGGCGTCCCTGTGGCCACAGATGTGCATGGGGAGGTTGGTGTCGCACTCAAAGCCCTTGCCACACACCTGATCGGAGGAGGAGAGACAGGAGATGAGAGATGGGAGAGGGGAGGGGGGAGATGGGGGGGAGGAAATGAGAGGTGGGGGATGGAAGGTGGGGGATGGGATGTGGGGGATGGGAGGTGGGGGATGGAAGGTGGGGGATGGAAGGTGGGGGATGGAAGGTGGGGGATGGAAGGTGGGGGATGGGAGGTGGGGGATGGAAGGTGGGGGATGGGATGTGGGGGATGGGAGGTGGGGGATGGAAGGTGGGGGATGGGATGTGGGGGATGGGAGGTGGGGGATGGGAGGTGGGGGATGGGAGGTGGGGGATGGGAGGTGGGGGATGGGAGGTGGGGGATGGGATGTGGGGGATGGGAGGTGGGGGATGGAAGGTGGGGGATGGAAGGTGGGGGATGGGAGGTGGGGGATGGAAGGTGGGGGATGGAAGGTGGGGGATGGGAGGTGGGGGATGGAAGGTGGGGGATGGGATGTGGGGGATGGGAGGTGGGGGATGGAAGGTGGGGGATGGGATGTGGGGGATGGGAGGTGGGGGATGGGAGGTGGGGGATGGGAGGTGGGGGATGGGAGGTGGGGGATGGGATGTGGGGGATGGGAGGTGGGGGATGGGAGGTGGGGGATGGGAGGTGGAGGATGGGATGTGGGGGATGGGAGGTGGGGAATGGGAGGTGGGGGATGGGAGGGGGGACCGTGGCCTCGCATGTGGACACGGAGATTGGTGTCTCGCTTTAGGCCCTTCCCACACACCTGGAGTGGGGCGGGGAGGTGGGAGATTGGAGGGTGGAGAAGGGGGACGGCTAATGGAAGATGGGAGATGGAGGGTGCTAGTCTCATGCGTCCATCTCACAGGTGAGATGCGTCCATCATCTCAACAACGCACCTCACAGAAGAGAGTGTGCTCTGCTAGCAGCTCGTCCACTTGCAGTTCCACCAATTCAAACCCGCCACGTGTCACCCCGTCACTGCCCCTCTCCCCCCCTTCCTCCTCCTCGTCCCCCTCCTCCTCCTCTTCCTCCTCATCACTCCCATCGCCCATTTGACTCTCAGCCTTAACAAAAATCCCAAGTTTTGATCGTCTAGCCACCTGCCCCTCAATCTCTTCCCCTTCCCTTCTGCCTGCTGATAAAATGCTTCCCCCTCTTGCTCCAACCCTGCCTAATTCTCTTCCTCCTCCGCCCCCTCCCTTCCTCCCCCCGGCCCTACCCCCTCCTCTGCTCCCTCGTATCCTGCCTCTACTCACACCCATGCTGCCGCTGCCGCCCAAAACGCTGCCGCCGCCCAAAACGCTGTCGCACATCGCGCTGCCGCCCAGAACACTGCCGCCCACACCTATGCTGCCGCCCTGACTGCTGCTTGCGCCGCCCATGCTGACACTGGGCGGCATGCCACTACTCTGAGATGCCATGGCGTTATCACACAGTACCATGGCGTTACTCTGCGATGCTCTGGTGTTATCCTGCAATGCTGTGGTGTTACCACTTGATACCATGCGGTTACCACTGGGCGGCATGCCACTACCCTGAGATGCCATGGCGTTTTCATACAATACCATTGCGCTATCATGCGATGCTCTCGTGTTACCACTTGATACCACGGGGTTACTACCATGTGAAGCTGTGGCATCAACAACTGCTTGACATGCCATGGCACCACCATCAGCGCCACCATCCAACGCACCAACATCATACGCAGCAATATCGTAAGCAGCTCTATCAGGTGGCCCCTCATGTGCCCCCTCATGTGCCCCCTCAGGTGCCCCCTCAGGTGCCCCATAATAGGTTCCATGTAATGGCATGGGCGTCACCTTGATGTCATCACCACCGCCCATGCTGACGTCATCCATGGCCTGCACCTCCTCCTTCACTGCACCATGCATGACGTCACCACCACCCCATGCCAACACCTCACCCCCACCTGCCATAACCGCACCCCACCGCAACCCTTGATCGTGCAAAGTGCTGCGATTCCCTGGCCTTCCCTTTCCAATCCTCTGACGCCTGCCCTTTTTATTGTTCCCGGGCCTCCCCACTGTGCTGTACCCGAGCCTGCCCTCTGCAACTCTCCCGAGCCTGCCCTCTCCATATCTCCCAGGCCTGCCACGTTCAGCTCACCCCCTACCTCGTTCACCTGGCCTGCCTGCTGCTGCTGGCTGCGAGCTTCCAGGAACCTTCGCAGCAACTCAATCTGAGGCAGCAAATCTTCTTGCTGCTGCTCCTCCTGCTGCTGCTGCTGCTGCTGTTGCTCTCGTTTGGAAGGCCCACCTGCACCTGCCGCTGCTGTTGCTGCTGATAATTTTGCTTCTGTTGCTGCTGCTGCTGATTTGAGTTTTGATGCTGATAATGATATTGCTGTTGCTGTTGTTGCTGCTGCTGCTCATACTGGTTCTGTTCCTGCTGCTGCTGATATGGATTGTCGTGCTGATAGTGGTACTGCTGTTGCTGTTGCTGTTGTTGTTGCTGTTGCTGTTGCTGCTGCTGCTGCTGTTGCTGTTGCTGTTGCTGTTGTTGTTGCTGTTGCTGCTGTTGCTGTTGCTGCTGCTGCTGCTGCTGCTGCTGCTGCTGCTGCTGCTGCTGCTGCTGCTGCTGCTGCTGCTGCTGCTGCTGCTGCTGGTGTTGCTGCTGCTGTTGCTGCTGCTGTTGCTGCTGCTGCTGCTGTTGCTGTTGCTGTTGCTGTAGCTGTTGCTGTTGCTGTTGCTGTTGCTGTTGCTGTTGCTGTTGGTGCTGCTGTTGCTGCGACTGCTGCTGCTGCTGTTGATACTGTTGCTGTTGCTGCTGCTGCTGCTGCTGCTGCTGCTGCTGCTGCTGCGCATTCGCAGGCGCCTCTGAAGCACCCCCCCTCCCCCGGTAAACCACGCCAGCAATATCCGGCACCACAAGCTGCTGCTGCAGGTGCGGAGGCAGCAACCCCACTGCTGCCGCCGCCACCTGCTGAATCACCGTCGCTACCCCCACCGCTGCCACCTCCTGTTGCTGCTGCAGCGCCTCGGACGGCGCGGATTGTGCCACTAGCGGAACCAGCACCTGTAACGCGGATATCTTTGACTGGAGGGAGGAGAGCGCGCCTAGGAGCGCGGAGGGGGAGATGGGGGTAGCGGAAGGGGAAGTTCGTGGAGCGGGGGGGATGGGGAGAGCGGAGGGGATGGGGGGAGCGGAGGGGATGGGGGGAGCGGCAGGAGGGATTTCCGAAGGGGGAAGGTGAGCAGCGGAAGGAGCAGTCATGGGTGTGGCGGAAAGGAAGAGGGAGAGGGCAGCGGACGGGCCAGGGGGAGGGTCTGGATTGCCTGTGACTGTGTTGAATGTGGGATTGAGAGTTGAGTGTTGGGGGTGATGGTTACCAGGTGGGGGAGGGAGAGAGGAGGTGGTGGGGGGAGGTTGGGGCATGACGGGGGATGGGGAGGGGAGGTGCGGGAGGCGGAGTGGCAGGGCGGCAGGGGAGGAGTGAGAGTGGGGGTGGGCGATGGAAGGAGAAGGAGGGGATAAGAACGCGCGAGGGTGCTGCTGCTGCTGCTGCTGCTGCTGCTGCTGCTGCATTCGAATCTGCTGCAGTTGGTGCGGTTGTTGTTGCTGTTGGTCCTGCTGCTTCTGCTGCTGCCGGTGGTGCATTTGACTTTGCTGGTGCGGCTGTTGTTGCTGATGCTGATCCTTACGCGGATGATGATGCGGCAAAGCTGGAACATCTACGGTTGGATGTGACATGCCGTCATGTGACATGCCCTGATGTGACATGCCCCCATGTGACATGCCCTGATGTGACATGACCTGATGTGACATGCCCTGATGTGACATGGCCCCATGTGACATGCCTTCATGTGACATGCCCCCATGTGACATGCCCCCATGTGACATGACCTGATGTGACATGCCCCCATGTGACATGACCTGATGTGACATGCCGCCCCCCAGACCGTCCATGCCCATGCCTCCCGTGAACCGCCCCTTCCGCTGCCCCACGTGCCGCCCTTCGCTGACGGCGCCTGATGACGTCCATGATGACGTGGCGCTCTCTGTCTCTGTGCTGCCACGGGACGGCAGCGGAAAGGACTGCTGCCGCCGGTGACGCAATGACGGGTCGTGCTGCTGCTGCTGCAGTTGGTGGTGCTGGTGGTGGTGGGGGTGATGATGGTGGTGGTGCTGCTGCTGGTGCTGCTGCCCGGGTCCACCTTCACTGAAGCTTCGGCTCTTAAAAGTTCCTCTTAATGCCGTTCCGCCTGTCGCCTGTACCAACAAACCCCCTCCCTCATCCTGCACCGCCTGCTGTGGCCTTCCACTCACACATGGCCGCTCTCCCCCCACACCCCGCTGCTGCTCCCTCTCCCTGTGCCGCTTGTTCCCCACAACCACTTGCATTAGATCCTCCCCACCAACACCCTGCTCTTCCAGCAACTCGTGCTGATGGGTCTGCTGCTGTTGCTGCTGCTGCTGCTGCTGATAAGCCTGATGCGGTTCCCGAAAATCCACATGATGTGGAGGGGCTGAGTGGTTATCAAGGTTGGAAGGTATGCGGCCACGGTCAGGCGCATGACTCGTTTCAGGGCGATGTGACTTTTGAGTCGACTCAAAAGTCAAATCCACATGATGTTGAGGGTTTGGGCGGTCATGAAGGTTGGAAGCGACGCAGGCAGGGTCAGGTACATGACTCATTTCAGGGCGATACCCTCTCCACTGCACCCCCTGCGGCGCATTCTCCGCTCCCCCTCCCCACTGCTGCTGCTTCACCCCTTGCTGCTGCTGCTGTTGCTGCTGCGGCTGCTGTTGAGAGTGCAACGTCTGTGCTCCTCCCATTGAACCAGAGTCCACGGTATCATGCCTTGCCTCTTCATTTGCCAGCACAGCCTGCGCATTCCTCCATGCATCGCGTGCCTCTGACGGCACGACGTTACCGCTACCGTTTTCGTTAGTGACCGTGACGGCGCCGGTAGTAGAACCAACTGCTGACGTCCCAGCAATTGCAACGGCGCCGTCATTTGGAGCGTTACAACTACTATTAGGCATTGTGAAGTCTCTTATAAGCGCATCGTACGCTCCTTCGATGGATGAAACCATTCCGTCACCGCCGCAACCTATCTGAAAGTCGCCAATCCCCCATAAGTCTCCGTCGGGGTTTCTCGAAGAGATTATGTCAAAATCCATGTCGGATCCGCCGTGGAATGCGCTAAGCTTTACCTCCTCCTCCATATGAACTGACCATGAGCTATGTAGAAAACGAAGGACCCGAAACTGTCCCCAAAACGTCCGCGTGACTCGCAGGAACTTTCTAAACACGTCGGATTCTCGAACAGTGTGTAAGCAAACTATGATATCGCGACAAAAATAAACAGATTTCAAAACATAAACAATCAACTACTTCCAACAAAGGCTGTTAAACTCGACCTAGGGAAGAACGTTCCTCTGCGAGTCCGACTCAGACTCGGTACCTAATATTTCGACAAATTGATCGACAATCGATGGAGTCCTGACGACAATCCGACGATTTGCTACCACTCCTTATCTCGGAAAACCAGACAGATCAACAGCCACTACACGCCTAATATGCATCCGATGCTGTTGACGGCTCGAACCTACCAACCGACAAACATGTGCGACAGACAAGAGAGCGAGGGAGAGCAACAGCAGCAAGAATGCTGCAGAAACGAGGAGCGAAAAGGGCGTGCGGGTGAGAAGGAATGATGGGTGAAACGCAGGGTTTGCATTCTGTAGGTAGTTCTGGAGGAGGTAGTTAGCGAGAACAGTGGTAGAAACACCACCAAGGGCTATCCACCGTACGATTTGAGATTTGCACTTCGATCGTGTCATCGGAGCATCGCTCAACCGTCGATTGTAATATTTGTACAGAACCAACCATCCCCGCACACATTCCCTCAGCTTCACCTCCAGTACAGTCGATGCTCAGCCTATCACAAAAATTTGCTTATCACTATTAGAAAATTAGTCACTCGCGAACGTTTTCCCTGTGAGTGGTGATTGTGCTGATTTCGGGTACAGTCACCAAGTTGCGGAAGAAAAACATCTACAGTTCATAAACAACAGCGATTGCCCGTCATCAGAATTGTTTACCTGGTTACGAACTTAAACCCCCGGACTCGTTTCAAATTCCAATTTCATTTTACAATCACAATTTTGCCCGTGGCGATAGGGGCGAACATGACGAAATGTCCCAAACTCGTTTCACGCACATGCCGCCCGCCTACCTGGTGTTCTTGAAATGAGCACCGACTGTACCAATAACCACCGACCCTGGCCACAACCCGCCAGAAAGGGGCTGCCTCCCTGGCTGTCAGCTCGCCTTGCCAGCCACCGGAGAGCAGGGGCTGCCCGAAATTATTCGAGGCTTGAAACACAGGCACGGCTGGGATAAGGTTCAAGCCACTCTAGTCTCACATCGAGGGAATCCTGATCGTCGATTCATCTCTATGTGCGGGTTTGTGGGAGAGGGGCCGTGGTTGGTTGCGAAGGTTGGGTGCTGCCCGAAACATTTTGGGGAAAAAGAGAACCCGCGGCTGGCTGTTGTTGCAGCAGGTCGGTCAGTAGAAGCTGCCCGCACAGTTTGCTTCGAGCCCCGTTCATGAAACTGGTGGGTGGACGATCGTGGACTGAAGCGCACCGACCAGCCACTGCACAGATGCACAGTGCACCACCAGCGCAGCTCACCCGAAGCTACCGCGACATGACGAAAAATGGCGACGTCAGCAGTGCTGGTTACTGCGCACCCGTTCTAAACAACAGAAACATCTAAATTTACATCACGCTTACAGGAACAAGCCCATCCCCATACACTCCACGCAGTATAATATCGCCTAGGAGCTCCACCCACATATCCGTCGGACCGGGCGTGCAATAATGGAGACAGTCTAGAATCCCCCTTTCCTCCACAAAGCCCTTGTGCGAATCCGGTCTCAATGCTGTAGCAGTATCCACATCCATGTACACACCTCCCACATCACGCATCATGCTGCGAACCATCTTGTTATGCCGGGCAAACATATCCCAATGGAACGGCAGAATTTCTGGATTCTGCCGCTTCTTGATCGGCCCGATGTAGGATGTGCAGTTGGCATGCCCAGGAGGGGTATTCCTCCAAATAATCAGCGCGTCAGGCAGCTTCTTTCGAAGAAATTCCAACGTGGGCGGCACACTCCTCTCGAAATCCTTCCCTCCAATAAAATGCGCGCCCCGATTCACCACAACCACATCAGCATCCTTCAACCCTGAATACAGATGCCATGGAATGTGGTCAAACTTTGCTTCTCCAGGCGAAGTAAACCACAGATGATCATTCCTCACGAATTGCACCGTAAGCCCGGGACAAACACTCTCATTGAAAGTGTACACTCGGCAGTAGGCATGCCTGGGGGGATCCGCCAGCCAATCAGAGCACTCCCGGGGAATCGTTTCATTCACAGCCCACACCGCAGGCTTGGGAATGTGTCTCAGAAGGCCGTTGAGGAAGCTGTCAACCATCTGGTGCGCCAGGGAATCCCCGACAAACAGCACATTCAGCCCGCCTTTCCTCTCACTCGCTTTCCGGCAAAACGCCTCTCCGTCAAACTGCCTCAGCGGCCCGATCGGGCACTTCCCAAGCGGCGTTCTCCACTCGTATTTGAGCGACTCGCGCACGCTCCAGCCGCCCGGCTCGCCGCCCTCCACCACATACTTATCTGCTTTCTTTGTCACGAGTCCTCCGGTCGTGTTGCGATGCCGGTGGTCGCACAGATTCATTGTACCGAGGTACTCCCAAGGGAGGATGCGTGGCGTTGCGTTGTACACCCACCGCCCGCGCTGACTCACGCATCGCAGCCAGCGCCGAAACTGGGCGGCGGACTGCGGAGATTGGATCTGCGTGCCGGGAATGAGCGGCTTCTGATTGGTGGACGCCTGCGCCAGCTGTGCGGCTCTCATTCGTCGGTCAGCAGCGGCTAGAACTGCCTCCTCAACTACTTTCTCGTCGGCCGTTAATGACTTGCCCACCACCCGAGCCAGAAACATTGCTGCTGCCTCTACAGCCCCGCTCCTCCACTCCACTGCGCCCTTCCCCGTACCCTCCGCGGCGGGCCCTTTCCCTTTCCCCACACCATCAGCTGCTGCTCCTTCCACGAAGCTTCCTCGAATCACGCGGTGATGGATCTGGCAAGCCGCTGCCAGCCTGGCGACTGAGTCAGCAATCACCGCGTCCACCTCAGCGGGCGGCGGGCGGAGCTCCAGCAGCGCGGCGCGGGGCGGCAGGAACGCGAGGTTGACGAGGAACGGGCTCGTGATGCTGACGAGCAGTGCCGCGCGGGGAAACAGTTCTTTGGCATCGTCCCTCTGAAACCTCCCCACCAGCCTCACATGCTCAGCGCCAAACTTAAACTTCAACCCCTCAACTATCCCTGCGAATCCCTTCACCTGGATTGTTGCAGGTGGCTCGAGAACAATCACCTCTTTCACCCCACTTGTCTCCCAAGGGGGGAGGGCAGCGGGGGGGGGAGTGGGTGTCGGGGGAGGTGGGGGGAAGGCGCTCGGACCAGTCGGGGTTGAGCAGGGGCAGACCCCAGGGTTGCAGGAAGTGGGAGGTGCGGAGCTTGGACCACAAGGAGGGGCTGGGTTGCTGGCAGTGCTGAAACGTGGGCTGCACAGGGGGAGGAGGGGGAGAAAGAGGAGAGGCAGGCCAGAGGGAATGGCTCAAGTGCTAGCAGTGCGGGGAAGAAGGCTGACAGGAAGGGGTTGGAAAGAGGAAAGGGGGAGTGTAGCATGTGGAAATCGGAGAGGATTCTATCCACGATGCGATCTAAATGTTGGCAGCGTTGGGCAGTGAGGTCGCAAGATGGGAGGAGGAGAAGGGTAGCAGCGGCGCGGGATGAGGGAAGAGATGTTTGAATGGGTGAGTGGGGCGTGTGGGCATGTGCTTGAAAGCGTAGCGTGGGGACGGACACAGCAGGGTGAGTGTTTGCACGGACCTGGATTAGCGTTCGCACGAAGAGGAGGCGAGAGGGGTCCCCGAAGGAGAGCATGCGACCCATGGTGATACCCACCACTCGAGGCAGCTGAGAAGGACAGCACATGCCACGTCACACATGCCACGTCACACATGCCACGTCACACATGCCACGTCACACATGCCACGTCAAACATGCCACGTCACACATGCCACGCCACATGCCACGTCACATGCCACGTCACATGCCACGTCACATGCCACGTCACATGCCGCAACACATGGCACACGAGATGCCACATCACACATAGAACATGGCATTTCAGCAATGTTGCAGACATGCCACACAAACACGTGCCATGTCGTGCCATCACAGCCCATGCATATGCATGGTATGAGAATCAGCTCATCTCATACAGCACACGCCATTCAGAGA